CCACAAGCGTGTGTGCCACCACACACAAGAGGGGTGGGGATGAGGATGGGGAGAAAAGAGGGTGACAGGAAGAGGCAGAAAAGCCAGGGCAGGGAGACAGGAAGAAGGGGGGCTGGAAAGGAAAGAGAGAAAGGAAAGGACCTGATCCTGTCACTGGCTCGTCAACCCCATACTGCCATGTGGGGTTCCCCCCCCAGGCCACCGCCAGCGCTCCAACGACACAGCCCTCAACCAATCCATGCATACAGCAACCAGCACAGGCCACAATCCCATTGCAGGAAGCCGCACGCGTAAGAGCAACTAGCCAAGTGGCTGGAGCAGTTTGGCCACTGGTCCCAGAGACTGTGGAACTCCCTCCCACCGGAGGCCAGACTGACCTTTCTCTTCAGGCCAGCTTTTTTCCCCTCAGTGACCGGCAGCCTGAACGGAGCAGGCCAAGACCTTTCTCTTCAGGCCAGGTTTTTTCCCCTCAGTGACCAGCGGCCTGAACGAGTCCTTTTAAATGGATGGCGGAGGTGCCTTTACTGCTTTGACTGTGTTTTGGAGGTTGCTTGTCTTTACCATCTGTTCGTGTGGGGTTTCTTTGATCCTTTTTAAAAGTATTTGAATACTTACTGTTTTTTAAAATATTTTCTTGTTGCAAGTTGCCTTGATTCCTTCTTAAGGAGAATATTTTAAATATATAAATGACCAGGGTGTGCCCAGGTGCGCCACTGATGGCAATGCCAAAAGATGGCCCCGTATGTGATGAATTGGGGGGGCAGCAAACGGCTCCCGCACGATACGTCCTTAGAGGACTGACTGCAAAGCCCAGCAGAATTCTGGGCATAGATAAGAACAAAAGTCGAGCATAAAAAGCCTAAGGCAGATGGAATTTGGAGCCTCAGAGAGAGTCACGTTTTGGTTTTTAGTGGCGTGCTCAGTCAGACGAGCGCACCTCTTTCAACCGAGCGGCAGGGCAATGCGGTACAATTATAGCGCTTCTGAAAGTGCTTATCAGGAACCGAGATTAAAAGAAAAACAGCAGATGTTCAAACTCGGGGGCGGGAAAAAAAATATCGCTCGGTTTCACCTTCTTAAGCAGCTTTTAAACCTCAAGTTCTGTTCTGAATTTGCAATTTGTGAAATCTGGGTAAATCCTATGAAAAGGAGCTGGAGCTCAGAAGGAAGACTCATGACAGGCAAAATTCAACAGGTGCAGCTCTTCACAGCATACAGAGGAGTGCGGGATACCTTCCTGCCATACAGGTGTTAATAAGGAACTATTGGATAACTCAGTGGTTTAGGGGTCTCTGGCTGCAGAGCCTGGGGTTCAGAGTTCGATTCCCCCCTTGACGGGCTGGATTGGATGATCCCCAGGGGTCCCTTCTGCAGTTCTAAGATGCTGATGAGGTTAATTAAAAAACCCCTCCAAAAAAAGAAGAAGTAACAAGCATAATTCGTCACTACTATCATTAAATATAGACGGGTTCAAGCTGAGAAATGTAAGAGTTAAAAGCTGTCCAAAATGCTCCATCTGAAGGTACATTTTGCAGATCGGCAAATTCTGTCACTTTCCGTTTCCCCCGTGTTCACTCTTTTTGCAACCTCAGGCTTCTTTCCTCTGAAACATGAAGGAACTTGTGAATTTTTCTAAATTGTCCCCAGAAAAATAACTGAACTGAAATTTCTCAGCCACTGGTATTCGGAGGCACAGTACAGATCGTTTTTAAAAGCTTACCGGTCCAAGAAAAGAAAAAGAAAAAAAAACTTTCATTTTCTGCATGCTGAAGACTAAATTGTAGTATTTTTTTTTAAACTGTGGGTCTTTGCCCCACTTGGGAGAACCGTCCTCTGCATGAGCTCAGAGGTATTCGGATCTCAAAAGGCCACGGTTTTTTTAACCAAGGCAGAAGAGACATGGCTGCTCCAAACGAGGTTCTCCTTACCAGATTATTCTACCGGCACATTGGCTCCAGACAAAACTTGCCTCCGGGGCCTTTCTCCCCACCCTCTTCCATATTTGCACAGCCACACCCCTGGAGATCACACCCAGCCCTCCGGGTACCACAGAAAGGCTCTGCGGTCTCTCATCGGATGTGAAACAGCACCCGGCTTTGGGATCGGTCTTATTCGGGCCGGTAGGGACATAGATCACGAGGAAAAGCAGCAAACAAAACTTGAATGCCATGTTCTCTAAGAGAAGAGTTTCTCCCGGGGTGCCCCAGTCTGCCAATCTCTTATCGCAGAAGTAAAAGACTTTTCTCATGGATGGCTTTGGAGCACGCATCTTCTTAACACCTCCTGATAAGTTGCATTCCACCTGAAGGGACCCGGTGAGGAAAGTTAGCAAAGCACGGTGGAGCACTCCGCAATGCTCGCAGCTGTAGCTCCGCCGACAACCACACACCAGAGCTGCTCTCAAAGTAGAGAAGCCAGCCGAGGGTGTCAGGAGCAAAGACACACAGCCGTTGTTGTCCTCTGGGATGGCCACGGTCGTCTGTTACAACCACAGTGACAAAGAGACCTGCGCTACCCTGTGGCCAAATGCATGCGCTCCCAGGCCTTCGGATGCTTTTATTAAACAAGCAATGCAAAATTTCAGCACACACCGAAATGTCCTGAATGGGAGACCATCGGATCCCACAGAAATGGAATGCAGGATATAGGAACAGCGTGACCATGACTTTGTGAATGGCCATTTTTATACTATTTTAACTTTCACCGGGCCTTGCAAGCGACAGTCCCAGCCTGGTATACTGCACAACGTAACTCAGATCCCTTTTCAGCTCTTTTGTGCTTCTGAGGAAGGGAGCTGGAATCCGGGAACATTCATACTATAAATGGGTCACAGAAGACTTCATTGCTCTTGCAGCATCATAGACTAAGATGATGAGTCCCACATCTGGGGGGGGGGGTTAGATAAACTGTGCAGAGTAGGGCCCCAACAATGGGCCCCATAGAGAGGGAGAGGCAGGAAGGCCAAATGGCCCAAGACTCTACAATGCAACCCACACTCTCCCTCTGTATTCATTGCTCCCAGGAGGAGAAGAACCGACCCTCTGAATCATCCAGTCGGGCCCCTGCCCACTGGGGCATCGAACCCCCAGCCTCTGGCTTCGCAGCCAGAGACCTCAACCCCTGAGCGACCCTGGAGCCTTTCTGATGGGCCCTGGTAGAGGGGCTTTTCCAGCATGTTACAGGCACAGCATGGTAAGTTTGCAAAATTAAGTGCCAGCTTTCTACACCGCAGGACTGCCCGAAGCAGCCTTTCTGTTCTGTCCTTCGTGCCATGGCTCAAAGCAAAAGCAAAACTAGAGACGCAGAGAGAATCTCCTGGAGGCCACTGGCTAAAGTCAAGGGCTCCCTCTATCGCCCTGTTTCGGAAAACACAGCGAGCATAAGGTACATATAAAAAAGCCATGGATCATTGTGGCTGATGGCGAAATACTCCTAAAGCATGAAACCCACATGTGTTCACAGAGACACCCAGCGGTGGATTTTGGCACCGCTCGTCTCCTAAAAACAGCAAACAGACATCAAGGGTGCAACTTTCGCAACCACATTGGTTGAAGGAGCTGCAACTCAGCCTTCACGCAACACAGAACTCTTTAACATCCAGCAGCATTGCCCGAAGGAAGAATGCGGTGCCAACTCTGAAGCTGGACAGCTGCTGAACTTACAGAAGACGAGCCAAAAAAGGTAATCACCCATTTTTTTTCTATCCCTCATTTAATCACAGGGAGCCGATTAGGACCGGTGATGCTTTAAAAAGCATCGAATTTGATTTCACCCAGGAAAATTAAGTTTTTACAGACACCTGCCCACTGGAATAAGGAGGAGCACAATTCTTGAGGAGGAAAAAAAAAGACAGCACCGAGACACAATGGAATATTTAATTCAGCGTAAGGTGCTTCCTTAGCATTCCAACGATCCCCTAGCAAAACGGAAGTGATTCTCAGCAGGAGGGAATTCTCTGTTTTAGGGGCCCGTCCCTCCGTGGGTTTCTCAAACACTCTCAATATCGCCCTAAAGACAGCCAAAGGCTGGAAATCTGAGACTATGCTGGCTGGGGGTTGATGGGAGTTGGAGTCCAACATATCCAGTGGGCTCTGGATTTGGGAAAGCCGGCAGACGATAACGCCGACAGCAGAAGACAACAAACAGGACTCTTTGGGGGCTGTTTGTGGAATGGGAATAAAACCACAGAGATGGCAGTGTGCAGATCCAAGCTGATCCCTTAATAATTTCGTGAATTCAAGAAAGCTGCAGCCACATTTAAAGTAAAAGGGTCATTCTCCTCTTTCCTGCTAGCCACAGGCTGATAAACTACGAGCTCATCTGCTCAGCTGACAAAGCACATAGAATGTTAACAACGGACACAAAATATAACCACACAGAAACATTCGGCTGCAATGTGGCTCATAGAAAAATATATTATCTCACTCACCACACCGGAAAATCTCACACAGACAACTCCACGCAGTCACTTACCAAGTACAGCAGAAATGTATGAAGACCGGTTCCAAGACCAACCGAGGAAAGGACGCCCAAACCTACCCAGTAGGCACACCATAAGAATTTCCGCTCCATATACAGGACATACTAACGGTAAGAAGGGAGGGAAGAGAGGAGAAAAAAAGATTACACTTCCATAAGAAAGCCCCAGGAAACTTAAATTTTATTCCATTTGCAATTTCCATGTTTTCTGCTGCCTTTCCTCCAATGGGCACAGGGTTCCCCCCCCCTCCCGGCTTCATCCTCACAACAAGGCTATAAGGTAGGGTCAGGCTGAGAGAGAAGAGGCTGGTCCAAGATCACCCTCTCTGAATGCCAACTTACGGGCAACCTTCGAACCAGCAGAGTCCCAGCCCAATGTTAACGGCGAAATCTCACTGCCCATAAAAAGAGATGGGCACGAACCGCCCGAGATCGGTTAAAAGATGTCGAAGTGCATCTAATTGGACGTCTCAGCCGCTGGAAGAAGCAAAACACCCCTTACTTCCAAGCCTCTCTGAGACCAAGTGGAAGGTCAGGTAGACACCCCACGCGCCTCTTAAGGTTCATGGCAAAGGGGAAGATGTACCAGATTTTAAAAAAAACCATATTCCCAAGGAGCATCAATCTGGAAAGCATTTTCTTTAATTCTTTCCAAATTTATGTCAAGATGGGCACAAATTCATTGGTTCGGCAGTTCGTGAAAGTTTGTTTCTCGGCCAGACACGTGTTCTTCACTTCGAAGCGCCTCCTCCTCCAATGGGCACCCAGAGGAAGCCGCATCTAGAGGGGGGCACCTGCTGGAAGAGACGGGTCTTCAAAACGCCCAACGCTGGTTCAGCCAATAAACAAACCTGGCACGATTCGCCAAATCAATGGCTTTTTGCCCGTCTCTCTTTATGGGCACTGAGATTCCTCCTATGCTGCCGACTTCAAAGGCTTGTTGCTCAGAAAGAAGTCTTGAGGGAGGGCCTTTGGTCCCTCGACCATGCCAAGAAGCAAGATACTTTTAGAAGAAGTAAAAAGGGTTTCATACAGATCGAAGGCAAGTGTTGGACCCTATAAACAAATACAGCACCGCTTACCTGTTGATGTGCTCCCTCGACATAATACACAGACGTAAGCATTGCAAGCAGCAGGAGGAGAGACACCACGGCACTTCGGCGATGCCACAATCTTGAAGAGAAATAAAATGACTATTTAACACCTTGAAAAAGGGCCTGAGCTTCATCAAAGCCGAACCAAACACCATCCCAAGACAAGCTTTATTAAGTGATGCCTAAACAGGTGAAAAGCTGGGTTGCATCCCATGCTTTCCTTTCCTCCTTCCTGAGGAGCTCATGAGAATCTCCTGAGCAGCAAAGAACACAAAACATTTAAATAACACGAGGTTCGATTAGTTTGGAAGACAGATGGCAGCAACAAATTTGGCCCCTGTTGCAGAGAGATAAGTAACAAGTTTTTTTTTTGTCTTCTAACAGTGTAGGGACAAGGTCTCCAGAAAATGGCATTTCCAGTAAATCAAATAAAGGTTTACTAAAACAATCTCTCGCTGTTGCATCGAAAGGGCAGTGCTGTCATATGGGCAGACTCACTTGGAGGAAGGCTGCTTGACAACCTTCCTTGCATCAGATGATTTGAACTTCAGCTCCCAAAAGTTTTAGTCTTTGCATCAAAGGAGGAGACAAAACGGAACCCTTTAGTCCATTCTCAAAAGGCCATGAAAACCTTCTTTAAAAAAGGGGAATAGCCCTTCACACTATCGATTGGTCGACTCTGGAACTCATTGCCACAAGATATGGCAAGAATGACTGCCTTAAAGAACTTTTAATAAGAGTAATTGAATACAGTACATCAATATCGTGTGGTTACTAATCATAGCTGTTCCTGGAAAAAGCAGAGGCAGATTCAAGAGAAACATCTGCAAGCAGATTTCGGGGTGGGGTGGGCGAACGGTTGGATCTTAAAAACGAAAGACTTTTCCTTGTTCATCTGCCCAGGTGAACCACCTGTGGATAAATCCGGAGGAGTTCAAACAGCACAATGATTCCCTACCGTTGTGAGGGGCAGGCATTTCAGGACGTAGAATTTTTAGAGGCAAAGTCCTCTCGCCTCTTCCAGCCAAGAGTTCCACTCAGTCTTGAACTTTGCCCAAACAGGGTATATTCCTAGAAACAATTTAATCTGAAAATGCGACTGCCACGAATCTGACCTCCTGCCTAGCCGAACATTTAACAGGAGCCCTCTGTGTGTTTTGCACCTCCTAGTTGAGTTAGAGTACAACTCCCATGAACCACAGCCAACTTAGAGAAGGCTGCGAAACAGGTGGCTTTATTTTAAAAAGGAAGAACTGTAATGGAGAAGTCTGGGAGATAACAGCTCTTCCTCCAACTTAGAGAAGGCTGCGAAACAGGTGGTTTTATTTTAAAAAGGAAGAAGTGTAACGGAGAAGTCTAGAGGATAACAGCTCTTCCCTGGTGGTCTACACCACATCCAGCTGAACATTCCAGTAAGATCTCAGAGCATAGGCGTGGGGGGGAGGAGGGTATGTTTTAAGACAGCCAGCTCTCTGTGTCCCAAAGTCCTGAGTAACCCAAGGTTAAGAACCACTGGTCTACACCACATCCAGCTGAAGGTTCCAGTAAGATCTCAGAGCACAGGCATTGGGGGGGGGTATGTTTTAAGACAGCCAGCTCTCTGTGTCCCAAAGCAGGGCACACCACGAAGAAGGACTGCAGGAGTTGCCACCCAATTTCTGGAAGGCTACAGGCTGTTGCTCTGAGACAAACTGATTTTTTAAGCAGTGGCTTAAAACAAACAAAGAACACTAGAAGGTTTAGCAAGCCAGCAATCAAACCAAGTTAGGGGGAGAAAGTGTCAAGAAGATCCAGAGATCCATCCCTAAAAGCCTTTCCTTCTCTCCCTTCAAGGGTCTTCTACATCACAAAGCACTCTGCCTTCTAAGTATTACTAGAAAGAAGGCAGTTATCTCTCAACCCCTGAGCTAATTAGGAAAAAATAGCATTTCATATAAGGAAGGTTGGGAGGAAGGAAAAGGAAGCGATGCTGAAGATTTGCCCTGTAACTGTACCTAGCATCACGCTGAAAGGCACTGCTGCTCTTCACCCCCCCCACACGACCCAGCTTTGAAAGAGAGAAAAAAAGGTAGAAGAAGCGGTCTTTACTTGATGGTCCATTCTTTCAAGTCTATTAATGCTTCCAGGAAAAAATACTGCAAGGTAACAAGAGGCTTCCTCCAGAGCACGATATTCTGGCGCTCTTCTCGCTCTTTCCGCTTCTGTTCGTGGGTGGAGAAGGGTTCTGCAAACAGGGACGGAGAAAAAAAAGGAAATTCAGAGGGGGGAACCTTTCTGAGCTCCCCCCTTTTGGAAAACAACATTCTTGAATGGAAAAAAAACAAGGTGGACTTCCGAGTTCCCCAGAATGCTTCCCCTGGTAAAGAGACAGTACGAATTTTGGGGAAGAGGTAACAAAGGTAATACCAGAATTCTGTTTCTATGGGCACGTTGTACACACCAACTTGTTTTTCATTTTGCTGTTGGCTTTTCATAGCGGGCTAGGTCTCTGGTTGCGGAGCCAGAGGTTGGGTCTACTCACCAGAGCCCTCTGCCTCCGGTGAGTAAACCCAGCCTGGGTGGCCTTGGGCCAGCTCCACAGTCCCAGGACACCCCAGAAGAAAGGAACGGGGAAGCCACTTCTACCTAGAAAACCTTGAAAAGGGTAGCCAGAAGTGAGAACTGACTTGATAGCACATCATTATCATCATTATTACTGGTAAAGCCAGACAGCCTCAAAGGCTGTAATCTTTATCCGTAAGGGAGCTACTGCCGCCACCTTTTGACTGGGCACATCCTCTGCCGAGATCTGGTTAGAGGTCAGCCCGGGCATCCCCTCTCATCAGAGCAGCATCTATTTCCAAGAGCAGCCCCCCCTTGTCCAAATCTATTTCTGGATCTCCCACCTCAAACCAGGTCAGCCTGCAAACGATCTTCGCAGAAGCTGATCTTCTAAGCTACCAGAGGAATCCGAGAGGAACACCAGTAATAATAATAACAACAACTGAGCTACATATTCCAAGTCCCACTTTTGTGGGAGAATGTCTCTGAAAGCCGCCGGTGCCCTGAATGCGTTTTGAAGATTTGAAATCTTCCGGGTTTTAGGGGCAGCCAAACTGCCAGAGACTGACATCTCTGCTCCCTCTCTCATCCTCCCACGGTGTGTGCACTGGTTCCAAGACTGCTCTCCTCTCTCTCCTTCTGCTTCCCACCCCCATCCCCGCAAGCGAAATAAAACGGGGTACAAGCCCTCTTCGGGAATCATTTCATCCACCCAATGCCTGGCTGGTCCGTTCGGTCAGGAAATTCTACGGCAGCTGCAAGATGCTCCCACAGCTCTTGTCCTTGTACCTGGAGGGGGTCTTGATCCATGCGCCGTACCTGTAAAACTTCCATTATGCTGTCCTTTGTTCATTCCGCAGCGCCTCTGGTCACAATCTGTTCCATTCTTTGCCATTTCATAGATTAGTCGCGTCTGAGATCCTAAGATCAAAAAGACATACACAGGCGGGTTTGAGTACGGATCGTCCCCAAAGCGAAAAACCAATGGCAGAAGCCTGCATTTCTGCCCCAAATCATTGCTCCCACCACACCCATAAGTCAGATGAGTGTTTCATCATCCTCTCGTAACGATGAGGAGACAAACCCTGGCTTTCTCTATAGAGTGGCTTTATGTATAAATAGATACATATATAGAGTGGCTTTATGTACATAAATTTCTCTCTCTCTCTCCAAGCAGTCTTCCAAGTGATTTTCGGCATGTGCACAGGGGGTTGGAACCACAACACACACACCCTGTGGATATGGCAATCCCACTGAAAATTGTGCACTGTTTTTCTACCAAGACAGGGAAGTCACTAGCTATTTGGCCCATTCACAGTTGGTGTGGCTGGCCAGGGAATGGGAGGTTGATGAGAAGAAAGGCAGTTTATCTTTTCCATTGTTGTCTCTCCAAAGGTCTAGAGTTGCAGATGTTAGAAGAACAAAGATTTCTGTACACAAGGCACATTTTGTTGCAGGTCCCTGTATCACCACAATGCTCTCCTCAGCCCTGGCACATCTCAAAGGGCACTTCTTATGGAAGGCAGCAACTGCTCATGTCCGAAATTCATGTTGTCAGCAACAGCAGCAAAGACCAGTCACTGAAATCAGGGCAGGACAATGAAATGCCACAGAAAAACTCTGCTAGGCAGGCGAAATGCTTGGTGGCCAGAATGCTTCCCCCCTTTTTTTCATCCTGCAGCCCTTCCTTCGAAATGTTCAGAGGGAGCAAAAAGTCAGCAAGGGGGACGATCCAAGGCGACATGATTTGAACCTGCTGGATTAGGCCCGACCCACCTCGGATGGCCAGAAAGATGGAAAAAAATGGGTCCTAGATTAAAATCGAGCCTGAACTATCTGTGGAAGCAAAAATGTGGAAACAGAAGTTATGCTACTTGAGATGCATCCTGAGAAGGCGGTATGCTCCAGAAAAGACAACGATGCTGGGAAAGGTAGAAAGCAGCAGGAAAAGAGGAAGACCAAACACGAGATGGGCTATCTCCCTAAAAGAAGCCACAGGGTTGTGTTTACAGGAGCTGAGCAGGGTAGTTGCAGAGCGCCCGTTCGTAGGTTTGGATGCAACTTGACAGCATGTCACAACAAACCGGAGGAACACGGAATCTCCTTCCTCGTCCGCATCACATCCATGAAAAGGCAGCTATCATATCACCTCTTGTTTCTTTTTCAGTCTGCTAACCCTAAGAAAACTTTGAACCCCTTTGACACCGTAAGAACTCGCCATGTTTTCAAAATGAAAGATCTGTTTTCTCTTTACTTTGTCATCCACTGGCTTAAGAGCAGCGGAGGTATCCGCTTCCAGGCATGCAAAGCACAGCTCCATTCTACGTGGTTTTACTCATGGGTCTCAGATGCAGCGCAGCAGCTTTCCCTGGGCTGTGAATCAGAGCTTCATCCCATGCAAAAGCTTCCTGGGCTTTAAAGAGCCTCTTTATCTAGAACTCAGGATAGAAGGCGACAACCCTAGCAGGTAGGTTTGGACGGGGAAGCCCTGAAGCACTACATCGGATCCTTGGGTTTGGAAGTCCCCCCCCCCAGTCCAGGCAGACTGAGGGCAGAAGACAATCAGCAGCGAAGGCTCAGCCACGGTGGGAAAGCTCCTTCTCAGGCAAACTCCGTCGAGACTGATAACGTTACATTTTATAGACTTGGCAATTGTGTGCTTAAGGTTTTCCTGCCCCTCCTTGCACAGGGTGGATTTGATTTAAATGAAATCGATTTAAATCATGATTTATATCACTACGGGGTGGATACCACTTAAGGATTTTTTTTTAAAAAAATCTGAATCTGCATTTTAAAAATCATTTTTAATCTACTCTGCAATGATTTTAAATCACCCTGTCCCCATGTCAAACAGTTAACAAGTAACAGAGAAATGTTCTAACACATAATTACTACGAGAGATGTATAAAGTAACTACTGGTAGTTAAAGTAAGCCAGCAAGTGGCAGAATAAATCGCACTTCTTAAAGGGATGTTAAGATACCTCGTACGGGTCTCTAACCATCTCAAAAGTCCCCAGAGCCAGCCTGAGAAACCAACCACGCAAATCAAACGAACCACTTACTGTCTATGAAGGGTGGATGGAAGATCCAGAATGAGAATGTAAAGAGGAGCTAGCTAAGAGGTGAATGGACAGCATCTCATTTTACAAGGTTAAAATAACAGGGTTTTTTAAATGAGCAATTAAGCAACAAAAAGGTGGAATATGAAACTCTATTTTTAGTAATGGGAACACCCAAAAAGAAGCACTCAGTTAGATAACAAATTAGAACAACAATTAGGACATTTTTGAAAGGCAATGGAAACTGGCACAGAGCTACCTAGGAGTAAGTTAATTTGGTAGAATTAGAAGTCTAAGTTCAACATTAGAATTATCCCTGCCACATTTGGGCCACACAGAAATCTGTTCTCCAATTTCATGGGTTTCGACTTGCTCTTCCCTGTCCTGTATCCTTACCCTTCAAAATATTTCCAGGCTGCTTCATAGCACGATAGAATATAGTGAAGGTCAGCAGCACAGAAGTCAGGTTATTGACACTGCCTGAACATTTTACCCAATAAAAGCAGCAGATCACAACAGTAAAGGCAGAGAATTTAAAAACAAACAAACAAAAAACAGAGCAAGTTGTGAAAAAGGACGGTGCCAAAAGCAAGCAGGCAAACCTGTCAAAGGCCGATATTCTGTCAGACAAGGGGCCACCACCAAAAAGGCCCCTTCCCCAGCTGCCATCCACCTTGCGGTGAATGGCTAGAGCAGACAGAGGAGCTGATTCCTGAAGGACCTGAACACACAGGTTGGATGATGCTAAATCAGGCGTTCCTTTGGGGAACCCCAGTTCCAAGCTGCACCCACTCTGACACAGTTTCAGGCCCTCTTAAGCACGACGGAAGAAATTCTTATTTAAAAAAAAAACAGAAAGCACACACGCATACTGCCAACAAGATAGCTCTCTTGATTTGTCAGAATCAGTGAGGGGTCCATCCTGCTGAAAGGAGAATAAAATTCAATCCCCCGAAGGCTAATAACACTTCGGAAGGGTGTCGGGAAGTTACACGTCCTTAGGTGACCCCTTCCTCGGGAGAGCAGGTGGTGGGTTTGTCCCCAGATCAACTGTCAGGGGACATTTAGCTATCCATGGACAATGGAGAGAGATGTACCGGACTGGTTGTGGGTACATCTATCGTCTCAAACCTCCAGCCAAGTGCCAAGCCATGTCCCAACTCTGCCTCAACATGGCACTCTATGCTGGTATGACATATGTGGTTGGAAAGGAGTGGGGCGGGCGAGCAGGGTGGAGAACAAACCCTGAAATTATTGCGTAAGGATGGGTGTTTTCCTTCTCCAGCTTCGAAGCTACAGCTCTGGCTTTCTGATGACGCAAGAGTTTCCCCTCCCAGAACTGTTAGAAGAAATCAGAATGGATTTTATAAAGCACATATTGCATCTATAAAGCACATACAGCATTTATATTATCTGTTCCGCCACCATGCCTTGCCTTTTAAAATTAGTTTTGGTTATATTGAAGTTGTTTTTTGCATGCACGTGGACTGAAATGTCTAAGTTTGGCTTTTCTTATACCTATTATGTTTATAGTGGAGACTTGTGGTGCAGTGGTTAAACTGCTCTACTGCAGCCAAAACTATACTCACGACCCTGGGGTTCAATCCCAGGTAGCCAGCTCAAGGTTGGCTCAGCTTTCTATCTTTCAGAGGTCAGTAAAATGCATACCACCGCCTGTGTAATTAACTTGTAAACTGCCCAGAAAGTGCTTTAAGCACTATGGGGCAGTATATAAGAGCAGCACACTTTGCTTTTTTGCTTTAGTGTCTTTAAAATGTTGTCTGTTTTATCATGTTGTGAACCACCCAGAGTGGGCTTGGTAGCCAGATGGGTGGTACAGAAGTTGAATTAATAAATAAAACAATAAATACAGTAAAATTCCCCCCTATGAGCAGGATCAGTATCCACTGATTCATGTATCCACTGCCTGGAAATACTAAATTAAAAAAACCCCTCATAAATACATATTTATAAATATTTCCAGGGTGAATTTATCAGAACTGGCCACTAGAAGGAGCCAGAGACCATCTAATGTATACCATTCGCTACTGCATTTTTCAGCATCTGCGCAAGGGGGGGGGTGTCTAGTACTGATCCACTGTGGTTACTATGGTCCTCCTGTATTATATATGCTATCTCAGCCATTTTCACAACAGTCCTGTGAAGCAGGCCAGATCTATTCAGGAGGAATGGCCGTTCCTCACTTTCCAAATGACTCCACCTTCCAGCAGATCTGTCTGCACTCTTCATTATTATAATTTAGACACCAGAGATAACGCTCCTCTTATCTCCTGGCTCTTCAGAACTACCAATTTTACCACTTATTAGAACTTCAAGATTCTTACTACCTATCTGAAAAATATCTTTCTATTAGAATCTTGTCAGGTCGCCATTCTGCTAGCCGTCCCAGCAAATGTGCACGTATGCTGAAGATGCCATCCATCCATCCACCCATTCATACTGATCAGGCTCAGTGCCAAAACCTCTCAGTGTCTTCATGTCCAGGGGAAAGACCTGACCAGGCTGTTTGCTCACTGCCATCACTAGTATTTGGAATACCGCATGCACCCTCTGAAGAACTTGTAGCGAAAACAAACACAAAGTTGATCATTAGGACGGGTCAAGGAGGTCAGAAAGACGATAAAGCACAAGATTCCACAAGAACCTTGTTCCATGTTAAAACACAACGGAAGGTGCCCTTTTGGCCTTTTCCACGCTTGAGACAGACTTTGTACTCCTCAGAGCTATTTCTTCTTTTAATCATCCCTCTCCATAAGCTGCAGTGGACTTTGGACTTGTAAAATGGGACTGCTGACAAAGAATATGTTAAAAATCAAGGAAAGGGGTCTACCTATCAGTACCAAGTCAACATCAAGAAAACTAAGATCATGGCCACTGGTCCCGTCACCTCCTGACAAATAGAAGGGGAAGATACGGAGGCAGAGACAGATTTTACTTTCTTGGGCTTGCCGACAAAGGTCTGCATAATCAAAGCTATGGTTTTTCCAGTAGTGATGTATGGAAGTGAGAGCTGGACCATAAAGAAGGCTGACTGCCAAAGAATTGATGCTTTTGAATTGTGGTGCTGGAGGAGCCTCTTGAGAGTCCCCTGAACTGCAAGGAGAACAAACCAATCCGTTCTGAAGGAAATCAACCCTGAGTGCTCACTGGAAGGACAGATCCTGAAGCTGAGGCTCCAATCCGTTGGCCATCTCATGAGAAGAGAAGATTCCCTGGAAAAGACCCTGATGTTGGGGAAGTGTGAGGGTAAGAGGAGAAGGGGAGGACAGAGGATGAGATGGTTGGACAGGGTCATCGAAGTGACCAACATGAACTTGACCAAACTCTGGGAGGCAGTGAAAGACAGGAGGGCCTGGCGTGCTCTGGTCCGTGGGGTCAAGAAGAGTCAGACACGACTTAACGACTAAACAAAATCAGTACGAAGTATCTGAAGGTATTTGGAAAATGTTGCATACACTTCTTATGGGGACTATAACAGCCCTCATGGTGCTGAGAGTCAGACACGACTTAACCACTAAACAAAATCAGTACCCAGTATCTGAAGGTATTTGGAGAATGTTGCATACAATTCTTATGGAGACAAACTTTATAACAACCCTCATGGGGCTGTCAAGATGAGATTTTAAGGAGTGGTTTTATCAGTGAGTTGCCATGGCAGAGGATGGAACTGACCCCAAGCCTCCTGAGTCCCACGCCACTATATCACACTGGGCACCCCTCTGCACATAAATTACTGCTCTCCAACAACTGAACCACCTCCCAACAAAGGTCTATTTGTGGGTTTACATTTATTACTATTCTTAAAGCTTGCAGATACTTAAAACAGCACAGTATCTAGGTTAGCACTTCCCTTAGAAACCACGTTTGAGAGGCTAGCTGTGAACCATGCTGAATTCATACACTAGAGGGAGCAAACAGCACAGAACAGACACTGCTCAGGTGTGAAAATCCTTGAGGGAGACAGATGTTCTACCTGAAAGTGACTTTTTTTGCAGTGAACAGACTGCAGTGGCTGAAAAGATGAGAACCTCCATTTCTGCATAGAGGAAGATTCTCAGCACCACAGATCAGCACGATCAAGTTCCCCCTGTCTCAAAAGCTCCATTGTTAAACAATGAGGGAATAACTAAACAGCCATTAATTTAGATACCCTAAGTCAGAAACAATTTGATGGTGCATAACAAGCAAAATAGTGAAGGTAAGGGGATTCAGAAGGAAAGGAGATATCCTTCACAGTGAACATGGAAAAATATAGTTTGGCTGACACTTAAACATCTCTGGTGTATTACCTAAAATCAGTATCATCACAACTATGTGAGGCTTTTGGAAATGCACAAATTTTTAAAGATGCCTCTGCCATATTCCAAGCTCACAGAAGATCAATGGAAGGAATTTTGGCAGTGAACTATTCTATAATCCTCCCAGCATAATTGTTATGACAACCCTGTATGACAAAAATGCCTTCAGCTTCAGTTATTTTAAAGGTAGAACAATAGACACCAAGCTGTGCCTTCTCTACTGCTTTCTTCAGGGCCACTGGAAAGGAGAGAGATTAGTCTAGGTTTCACTCACACCGCAAGTACCCCTGACTCTGTTTTACAGGGAAACAGAACACAGCTACCAGCTGAGAATGATGCAAAACCGTTGCCAGCTAGTTACATTTAAATACCTGCTTATATCTTACCATGAAAAACTTACCCTTCTTTTTTTCTTTCCTCCACCCAACTCCCCCGCAGGCATCTTGTCTTTTTAATTCGTCTTTCTTGGGCTTCTGCTTTTTCCCCCAAAATGGGATTCAAAGAAGCGTGTAAGTCCGATGCTAGGGTCTGTCTGCTTTTTTAATTTATAGCAACCTGTCTTGGAGGCATGAATCGCTTTGAACCCAGGATACGTTGAAATAAAGAGAAACACCCCCTCCCTACACAGAGACGCACACTTATCTGTAGACATTTCATCTCTTATTCCAAGAATCACCGGACTCCTGCGACACTCCCAACAAGTAAGAGCTCCTTGTTGTTTCTCTTGCTTGTTCCAAAGAAAGGAACCCTCTTTTGTGTGTGTGTGTGTTTTCAGCAAAGCGCACAAACAACCTGCCCTCAACAAAACAGCTTCCATTACTCTACAAGCACATCCACAGAGTCTGATAACACAAACCAATTCTTTATCAATGTATGTGCACAGAGACAGACACACATTTATAAACTGTATATAAATATACTGCACAACAAACAACTAATGTACATACCAGTAACATCTTATATGTCTGTACATATGCATACACGATATATAGGGGTGTATTTCTGTGTATAGAGTATACATACATCTTTATGTACATAAACACTGTGTATATATACACACGATATATAGGGGTGTATTTCTGTGTATACAGTACATAAAGACTGTGTGTGTATATATATAAACAGACACGTGTATATATATACACACACACACAAAATATAGTGTGTGTGGGGGGGGGTCCTGCCAGGGGAGGCCCCGAGAGAGCCCCCAGGCACCGTGTGTGTGTGTGTGTGTGTGTGGAGGGGGTCCTGCCAAGGGAGGCCCCGAGAGAGCCCCGAGGCACCAGGCAGGGCTTGCTTTCCTTTCGGGCAGGCCACCGGAGGGCAGCAGGAATGAGGGAGCCTCCTCCAGACCCGGGTTCGAATCCTCCTCCTCCCCCACCGCCCACACCGGTCTACCTCCCAGGGGCGTCGTGAGGGAGGCGAGGCAAAGGGAGCCCGGGGCCAAAAGGAAAGCGGGGCACGACCCTGCCCACCCTCGCCACCTCCTCAAAAGACCCTTCCGTGAGGGGGAATTCCTGCCTCGGGCCGAGCCTTTCCCTCCCGCTCCGAAGGGCAAGGGAGGCCCCTCTCCGAAGGGCCACCG